TGTTGTCTCGGATTCTCCAGCATCTGCAGTTCCTACTATCTCTGATGCATATGCTACATTCCTTGTAGTACGGTAACACACTAAAATAAAGCTTAATTTTAAAATTCATATTCCATTTAAAATGCTAATACTACTTGTAACAGTGATGTGTAGGTGATAATAGGAACAATATGAATATAACTGGTTCAATTTTAAAGATACAAGACTCCATCTAATAAAATATTCTTAGTGTATTTGATTTACATTGTAGACTTGCTATTAATACACAAAGAAACTGAGCACTGTATTCAATGACAGAGATGAGTGAGGTCAGGAAATATTAATTCACTGTTTGATAACTTCTCACACAACAGCTACAAATCATGAGCTTTGTTCTAAAGTGAGGAATTTAGACAGATCTGAGGAGACGCTGCCAGACCTGCTAAACTTTTCCAGCAATTTCTGTTTGTGTGTAATAATAATGTCTGAACAGGATGATTTAAAATATCCACACTGACTCTGCTGAGGTGGTGGCACTATGGCAACATCACTGACCTAGTAATCCAGAGCCCCAGACTAATGTGGCATTGTGGTTTAGCAAGTTCAAGGACTTGCCTTGTAAGCAGGAGACTCGGAATTCAAAACTCATTGGTATCTTTCTCTGATTCTTTAATAGACTCTTGTGGCACAGTGGTTGTGCCTAATAGGATGCCCAGATTCCATCATAAGATGTCCCAAATGGTTAATTAAAAATAATTTTTGAACCTCCTGAAGTTCTGCAGTGAAAATAGCCTCCCCAAAGGAAAACATCATCGGCTAACAGCTAGCAAAGCATTCCCCATTAACGCAGGCCCATAAAAGAAAAAGACCACTTGCTTATGTGAAATCCTGTAGCCCCTGCTGGGACAAACATCACCCCACAAACTGGAGACATTCCCAACTCTTGTTGGTGCACTTCCCGAGTACACAAACATCACCCCACACAGCCTGGCAACTCATTCAAGTGGTGATGTCCCAGATTTCAAGTTTCTATGGAGAATCTGGAGAAGCCTCAACTATTTCAGGGTGGGTCAGGAAAGATACAGACACTTGTCATTCATTCAAGAAAGAGAGTTTGTGATTAAAATGGAAAGCCTGGTGTGGTGTTGGAAAAATTCAGAAAGGCAAGCGTAAAATGTTTTGACACTTTATAAATGTCAGTTAGGTGCTATCCTGTAGTTTTGTTATGTATTTTTAATCCAGTGAATCAGGGATTTGTCCTGCAAAGCTAAGTTGGCAATTGGCCAGCACTGTGTAAATGTTCAGGTGCAATGCTGTACCCGTTGGCAAATGTGGGATGTACAAGAAGCCAAATTTGGAGGAACGCAGAGATTTCGGAATTCTAGGGCCGGATGAGTTTTCCAAAGTAGGTAAGTAGAGACGTGACCTTATAGAGGTTTATAAAACAATGAGGGGTTTAGATAAGATGAATGGCAGGTGTTTTTTTTCTGGGGTGCGGGCATTTGAAGAGTAGGAGGCATATTTTTAGGGAGAAAGGAGAAAGATTTCAAAAAGGCATGAAGGGCAGTTTTTTTAAAATGTGTAGGGTTGTTAGTGTACGCAACGAACTTCAAGAGTAAGTGGTAGATGCGGATACAGTTACAACATTTAAAAGACATTTAGGTAAGTACGTGAATGTAAATATTTGGAAGGATATGGGCCAAGCACAGGCAGGTGGGACGATTTGAGTTTGGAATTACGGTCGGCATGGACTGGTTGGACCAAAGGGTCTGTTTCCGTGCTGTATGACTCTATGACTCTAAGAAGTAAGGCTGTGAACTGTTGACTTGCTTGAATCAGTTCCAATCACTACAAGTGAGTATTAATTATTTAAATACTTCAGCCAACCCATTGCGTCAATGATTTACTGAGACAGTTTCTTTGTGTGATACAGTGGCATTTTTTTCCTTTCAAGCTTCTGACAAAATTTCCTTTTTCTTCAAAAATCAACTTCTTTAGGGACATTTCCATGTTAACTGCCTAAATTTTTCTTAGACAATACTAAGTCAACCACTGTGCAACTTTACATAATTTAATTAAAGCTTGGTTGAGTGTTCATGTAAAAGAAAAGTATCACTATGCTTTGGAAGACTTGGAGAAGGTACTAATCCAAGTTAAATAATTCCATATATAAAACACTCACTGTACCTGCTAGAGGGTCATCTTTATAGTTCTTCCAAAAGTTTTCGAATTCTTTCTGGACATCTTCATCAATAATAACTCCAGTTGGCTGTTCATTGTTCACCTCAAGATTATTAGCTTTCAGGACAAGTTCTAGGTCACAACGGGAGCCCTGACTGAGAGGTTTCCACCTCTGCATAACCACACCATAAACTGTAATATCATCACCTAAGTTAAAAGAAACAAAAATCACAAGCCTTACTTCTCAGCATTTGGCTTCTGGTTATTTCCTGAGACAGAAAAGTAAACAAACCATTTTAAAATCTGCAGTTATTAGCCCCTAAAGTGGAAATAGGCTATTTAACCCACCATATAGCATTTACCTAAAGCAATCTACTGAGTATAGAAATAAGAGGTTATCTCAGAAATCTAAAGCCCTCTCTACTGCCCAATCCCTCATTCATCTGGACTAACCTCTTATTTCTAAGGTTTTGGAGTAGATTTGTAGCTCGGGTTGTGGGTGTTGAGGTTGTTGAGTTTGGTTGGCTCGCCACGCTGGTTTGTTGTTCCGCAGACGTTTCGTCACCCTGCTGGGTAACATCCTCAGTGCAGCCTCCGATGAAGCGTCGGTGTTTTCCCGCCTGGTTTTTAAACTCTGGAGTCCATTTAGCTGGATTGCCTCACTTCTGGTTTTCCTTCGTAGTGGAGTGTACATGGGGTTGAGTTCTGTGTGTTTATTAATGGCTTTCTTCGTGGAGTGCCAGGCTTCTAGGAATTCCCGTGCCTGACTCTGCTTAGCTTGTCCCAGAATTTTGCTCTCTTGTCCCAGTCGAATTGGTGGTTCTCCTTATCCATGTGGATTGAGATGAGTGAGTATTGGTCGTGTCTTTTTGTAGCCAAGTGGTGTTCGTGTACCCTTGTTGTTAGTTTCCTTCCCGTTTGTCCGATGTAGTGTTTCTCACAGTCTCTGCAAGGGATCTTATAGATGACATTGGTCCTGTCCATGGCGGGGAGTGGGTCTTTAGTTCGGGTGAGCAGTTGTCATAGGGTTGATGTGGGCTTGTGTGCCACTCTGATGCCCAGCGGTCGTAGCAGTCTTGTGGTTAGTTCCGATGTGTTCCTGATGTAGGGTGTGATCACAGAGGCTGCACTGAGGATGTTACCAAGCATGGTGACGAAACGCCTGCAGAACAACAAACCAGCTCAGCGAGCCAACCAACCTCAACACCCACAACCCGAGCTACAAATCTACTCCAAAACCTTAGAAATAAGAGGTTAGTCCAGATGAATGAGGGATTGGGTAGGAGAGAGGGCTTTAGAATTCTGAGATATTGGGACCATTTTGAGGGTGAATTGCCCTGTCTGACAACTTGCATCTCTCTCTCTCTTTCTCTGAATCAAGCTCATAGTAATGTCCTTTAGGGAAGGAATCTGTCATCCTTACTTGGTCTGATCTACATGTGATTCCAGACCCACAGCAAGACTCTTGCCCTCTATGCAATTAGGGATGGACTAGTTGACCGAGCCAGTAATGCCCTTATCCCATGACTGAATACAAAACGAATACAAAACTAATTAACTGACCTCATTGCCCATACATGTTAAATTTTAGATGGAGAAGAAAGTGAAGTGTCTGTATGGTGCAGGAGCTAACATAACCAACATGTTTGCATATTATGTTCACAAGTTAGCAAAACTATTTGCATTCTTATTAACTATATACACATTTCATGCTTTTTATTCCAACATTCAGTGCCTTACATCTGCTCTCATCAAAGTAAGTCTTCCAGGGCATAACCCATCTTTTCAGTTGACTCAAATCACTATGAATGTTTGCAACACACTAGGCTTGTAAATTAGCCATCTAGCTTGGTATTATCTGCAGATTTTACATTACAAAGATGCTCCTTCTCTATTATTTATGAATAGATTCAACAGAATCTTGTGGAGACAGGATCTTGTGGAGTTCAAAAGTCATTGCCATTCTCCATTAGTGCTTTTCTCAAATCTCCTGTCATTTTCTGCATGCTTTTTAACCCAACTGCCCAGTCTGTCATGCATTTCAAAAGACATTATAATCTTGAAATTCTCACATGCATATCCTTCTTAAGTGATTTCAAAGGTTTGAATATAACTGCACAATTTTTGAAGAAATTTAGTTACTTCTTCATGCAGGTTGATTATTCCTCATTCTCTCCACTTACTTAGATGAACAATGACATTGTTCTAACAAGCTTCACATCAACTGTCCAGTCCTGTTAACCAGTCAAATTTCTAATGTACTATCTTATCATGTTTTGAAAAGAAGTCAAGACTTGAAAATGCGGTACATAAAATAGAGCCTACTATAAAGTTAATCAACTGTGCACATTTACAGATGAAACACGCAAGCAAGGGAAACAGTGAAATGTGGATTTCTGATATTTTGTTCTCTTCATTTATAGCAATTTCATTAATCTATATATTTTCTCCTTTGCTGTTACAAATAAGGACCAAGGGAAGGCCACTCAACCCTTCAAACATACTCTGTATTTCAAGGAGATTATAACTGATTTGATTTTAAACTCCTCTCTATGTTCTACGTATCCAGATAATTTTTCATCCTCTTGATAATCAAGAATCTATCTACCTCTATCTTAAAAATATTCGAATATTTTGCAACCCCAGCCTTTTGAGGAAGGGAATTACAAAAATTAACAACCCTCAGAGGGAAAAATGTTTCCGTATATCTGTTTTAAGTGGCGGACCCTTATTTTTAAATTATGACCCCCAGTTGTAGATTCTCCCACAAGAGGAAACATCCTTTCAACATCTATCCTATTAAGCCCCCTCAGGACTTTTTATGTTTCAATTAAGTTATCTCTAACTCTTCTAAACTCCAGAGGATACAAGACCAGCCTGTCTAGCCTTTCCTCATAAGACAATCAACTCATTCCAGGTATTAGTCTACTAAACCTTCTCTGACCTGCTTCCAATGCAGTAACATCC